ATGAACTGATTCACTGTGGCTACAAAACTGGGTGCAGTGAAACTTATGAACTGATTTACTGTAGCTACAAAACTTGGTGCAGTGCAACTTATGAACTGATTTACTGTAGCTACAAAACTAGGTGCAGTGCAACTTATGAACTGATTCACTGTGGTTACAAAACTGGGTGCAGTGACACTTATGGACTGATTCACTGTGGCTACAAAACTGGGTGCAGTGCAACTTATGAACTGATTTACTGTAGCTACAAAACTGGGTGCAGTGCAACTTATGAACTGATTCACTGTGGTTACAAAACTGGGTGCAGTGAAACTTATGAACTGAATCACTGTGGCTACAAAACTGGGTGCAGTGACACTTATGGACTGATTCACTGTGGCTATAAAACTGGGTGCAGTGAAACTTATGAACTTATTCACTGTGGCTACAAAACTGGGTGCAGTGCAACTTATGGACTGATTCACTGTGGCTACAAACCTCGTGGTAGTGAAACTTATGGACTGAGTCACTGTGGCAACAAAACTGGGTGCAGTGCAACTTATGGACTGAGTCACTGTGGCAACAAAACTGGGTGCAGTGCAACTTATGGATTGAGTCACTGTGGCAACAAAACTTAGTTGTTATTTTAAAATGTGTTTCAGTAAACTCTGTTAACTATTATCGTTTATTTCACCCCCGTTGATTGTAACCCAAACAAACAAATTTTGGTAATAATGCAACTTGTAATGGGCTAGTTAAGATTATTTAAATCCAGCATCAACGTCGTCATGTAAGGTGGGGGATCGGTTTTCTTAATAAAGACAGTGTTTTTGTTTCAGGTGAACATCAGTCGGAAATACTGGATTTGGTTGCAGCCAAGTTTCATGAAGAAGGGGGCATTTTCAGATTACTGGTGAGAAGTTATTAAAATGTGGGGAAATAAATTCACGATTGTATCGACCAATTAGTATTATTTGTGTGTGTATATATATATATAATTAACGGATTGAGTAACAATTAGACGGATTATCACACCATCTAAATGAAGGTAAGTAGATCATTAGAGGCTGGATGGCGAAATATGATGGAAAGTTGATGACTTTTATGCTTTGTTAAATACTACGTGTTGAGACAGTATTGTTTTAATATTGAACGGTTTTCTTAAGGAAGAGGCGTTGAAGATGTAAGGAATTATTAGATTTTGTGGACTGATTCATTGTGGCTACAAACCTCGTGGTAGTGAAACTTATGGATTGAGTCACTGTGGCTACAAACCTCGTGGTACTGAAACTTATGGACTGAGTCACTGTGGCTACAAACCTCGTGGTAGTGAAACTTATGGACTGATTCACTGTGGCTACAAACCTCGTGGTACTGAAACTTATGGACTGAGTCACTGTGGCTACAAACCTCGTGGTAGTGAAACTTATGGACTGAGTCATTGTGGCTACAAACCTCGTGGTAGTGAAACTTATGGACTGAGTCATTGTGGCTACAAACCTCGTGGTAGTGAAACTTATGGACTGAGTCACTGTGGCTACAAAACTGGGTGCAGTAGAAACTTATGGACTGATTCACTG